CACAAGTTTAGCTAAGAAAAAAAAATGGTTAATCCAAACATACTTGCTGAAAAAAGAATCACTGCTTTTAGTGCTTCACAGGAATTAATGGATTTAGTAAGTATTTGAACTTTTACTTTAAGTTTTATTGTTCATTTTAGTCACCTTTATCTTGAGGTTTCTCTACGTATTCGTATTATAACAAAATTATTATCCAAATATTGTACAATTAATTATTACTTTGCTTTCATTATATTTTTATGACAGTAGCTAAAAGTAATTATTATTTTGTTACTGACTTTTGGTACATTTTAATTTTCTTATCAACATTTAAGGTGAAATGTATGATTTTGTATTAAGCTTTCATAGCAAAACTACAGACTATTTCATTGCTACTTATGGAAGCATTTTATGTGATTTTCTTATTGCTACTTTCAGGATTTAAAGAAGCTTCTTGGATAATAGAAGGTAAAGCTATCCTTGAAACTTATGAAATAAATAAATGTTTAGAAGAAGAAGATCGAACTGCCCTTGTAGACATTGTTATTAAATGGTTACTTTTTCGTATTAATCACCCAGATAGCCAAACCTGTGCGAGCAGATTTTACGCAGAGTCTGTCAACAGTATCTGTTGACAGAATGGCAACAGACTGCACACAGAAACTGTTTTAGCAGTCTCTGACGACAGATTGGTGACAGACTGCGCGCAGAACCTGTCGACAGATTCTGACGACAGACTGACGGCAGATTGCGCGCAGATTCTGTTTCCTAGATAGGCTATTTAATTCTATTAAGGGCCATATGTACGTTATTAAATGGGGCAGTTTCACATACACACCATGCTGCAGAGAAGTCAAGATAATTATATTGTGCAATAATTGTACACATATACACAATAAAAAACAATGTTTATATTTTAAAATTGTATTACACATTTTTTATAAAAAAACAACAATAATAGAGAAATAACGAGTACAAGTATAGAATAGTACAACGGTTAAATGGCCATTTAAAGGCGTACACATGTCATTCCTGGTAAAAATTGTTCTCATAATTTTTCATACAATTTCTCATCTTATTATTTTTTTAAATGTTGTTATGTCATTAAATCCGATTTAACCGTCATGCAATAAGTATTGAAGGCAGCAGCACCGAATAAAATATTAGTCTCGCTATGTAAATAACTTTTACAGAATTTTTTTGATGGTTTATTTAAAAATATATCATGCTTCGATTTTGATAAAACTTAATACAATCTGAACGGGACGATCGACCAAATTAATTCGCACATGTAAAAGTACAGTATTTTATTAACATGATAGAAAAATGTCATTATCTGCTGTTTTATTGCAGTAATTTTCTATACATTCCTTGGTAGAAAATTAATTTCGAATTATCGTACCAGTCTCTCTTACATTATTTATACGCTAAACGGTTTCGTCTATATTTTGCGGCTTAAAAGGCGAACAAACTATAATATTTTTCTTCCTTAAACTTTAAATGGACAATACAAAGCGCTTTTTATCAAGTGAGGAATTGGCGTAGTGTCTAAGGCGACGGACGATTATCCAAAAGATGTCTTCAGTTCAAGTTCGAATCTCACTAGAGAAAATATTAAAAATTATGAAAAAATAATGTAGAAAAATTTTTTTGTCATAGTATTTTATGAGTATTTATGAGAAAGCGCTTATTCTATGAGTAATTATGAAAAATTATGAGAAAATTTAATTGAAGAACCTACGAAACGACAGGATCTGCGCGTAATCTGCAGCCAATCTGCCGTCATAGTCTGTCGACAAGCTCTGCACGCAATCTGCCGCCAGTCTGTCGTCAGAGTCTGTTCACAGACCCTGTCAACAG